CGTTTTGCTGCGCTTGCTTCACGAAATTACTGTCACACAACAATCCATAACCTGGCCGTGCGTTGCTAGCCACAGTGGGTCGAACACAGTCAAGATAATAAACACAGCGTGGGACAAACATTCACCCGAATCTAACGGGCGTTTTACAAGCGTCCGTTCGTCAAATCCACTGCTGGATGATTGCCTCTGCACGCCGTGTCGGTGGCGGGAGCTGTTTCAACGTAACTTCACCACACACCGTCGGTGAGGGTCGCAGGAGCTGGCCCAGGACCGGGGCCAGGAGTGGTTCGGATATCGGTACCAACTTTAGACGTGGCCTGGAATCGAACTCGGGGTTTTTCCCATTAATGGTGCAGTGCGCTTATCACTCTGGCACCGCTCCACCCATATACAGGAATTTACTCGGTAGGAACCTCCTGGTTCCACCAGCCCACAGGGGATTATTGTGTCCGTCGTGCAGGGAGGGGCTGGGTGGGGAGGGAGGGGCTGGGTGGGAAGGGGCTGAGTGGGGAGGGGCTGGGTGGGGAGGGTGGGGAGGGGCTGGGTGGGGAGGTTGGGGAGGGGCTGGGTGGGGAGGGGCTGGGTGGGGAGGGGCTGGGTTGGGAGGGGCTGGGTGGGGCTGGGTGGAGAGGGGCTGGTCACCCCGTGGTGCCCTTATAAAACTCAACGTTTAACCTACTCACGCCGGCTTGTGCCCGCCCTCACAGTCGGGCATATTTGCGGAATACACCACGCCGCCGTTGACCCTGGCCATTGACCCAGCAACCCAACGTTCCTACCAGCTCCCTCCGCAGGACAATGTGCTACACGGGGTGTTGGTAGAAGTCGGGTTAATTCTGCTGCTTACCAGTCTGCCTGCAATGCCGTAGATTGTTTTTTTATTTACGTCAATGCGCTGCGGAAGCAGTCCTGGGTTTAGAATTGTGGCACATCGTGTGTTAAGCTCGAACGTAACTCCCACCCACCTCCTCCCGATACATAGTGGATGGTGCCTGACTGATGTGGTGAGCTGTTAACTCCCTCGCCTGGTCTACAGGAGGTCGTGGGTTCGATCTCCACCCTGACGCCTGCTGCTGCTGTATATTTGGAGTTGGTTGTGTTGTCTCCGGGGTCGTGTGGACGTTTCTCCGGATCCTCCGAGTTTTTTTTTCCCCTCCCTCCACGTTGAGAATCTACACGCGTTGAGTTGTATTTGTCTGCGGTGATTTCCCACGCGATAAGCCACTTGGTGGAGTTCTCATTTGCGACGGCCAGGTCGCTTCTGAAAAAAAACCACGTAGCTCGTGTGGAGGGGGGGGGCTTAACTGGTAAAATAGAACATAGTTTACACCATTGGAATCTCATTTGCCAGTAAAAAATATATAATTGTTTTTATACCCTTCTATCTGGCAACAAAACTGACACCTTTTTTTTACAAGGAGTCATGTTTGCATAGACCACAATACCTGCAGCCAAAAAGCGTTATCTGGTCCAACCCATGTGAGACTAGGCTCTAAGGAAAGCTGTCTCGGGTGTGGACCAATCAACTTCAAGGACAGTGCATACATTATCAGAGTTATGTTTTTTGTTTGCATTATGGCTGCAGGTATTGTGGTCTATGCAAACATGACTCCTTGTGAAAAAAGGTGTTAAGTTTTGTTGCCAGATAGAAGAGTAAAAAAACACAATTATTAGAACATAGTTTTAAACATAGTTTTAGTTGAGTTTAATATTGGTCTGTCTGTAAGGCATGGAGAAGTGAAGCTGTGTGTGAATGCAGTCGGGTCTACGTTCATGCGCCTGACAAATTAAAAACTGAATTGTCGACTGGGGACTTGAGTTAGAATCGTGGCATGGAGACGTTTTTAATATGAAGGTCTTGAAGGGTTTGAATCAATATATGACATCAAGTTTTCAAATACAAAAAATTAACCCGTAAAAACAAAGTTTTTCACTATAAATCCTTTATATGCGTGGCATCGGTTTTATTTTATTATTCATTTCTGTTTTTCTTGAGTAAGAGTTTCATTTTTATCACATTGGTATTTTAAATTAAATATGAAAAAAAATTCCTAAAAAGTGGAAAATTTTGGAAATCTTTTTTTCACGAAAATAAATTGTCACGCACAACGAGTCTGTGTGCAAAAATGTCAGCTCGATTGGATCACGGGAAGTGGGTTAAAAAACGACCGAAAGATTTGCACGGTCGTAAGCGCGCAAGCAAGCAAGCAAGTGAACTTAATATAAAGGATTTAAAAAGTAAAACGGTTTGGTTTTACTCCCCCCCTCCGCCCCCCCCCCCCGAAAAATCTCAATAACATATTTCGTGTAAAAAGAAAACTTACAACCTTAACATTTTTCATTATTTTTGATAATTTTTAGATGTTCAAGGGTGCTGGATACAAAGGATGACATCGGAATGTATTATTAATTTAAAAGCCACGGGTGGGGATAGAAAAAAAATCGCTTTTGAATTGAGGTCTACGAAAGTTTGCGTCTGGAGATTTTCAAGGATGCCCGCAATCGAAACGTGACATTGGATTAACAAAGGCTCCCACAATTTTGGCTACGTCACAGTGAAAATCCGTTACCTGCAAAGTTACGCCACCCCCCCCCCCCCCCCCCCATTGCAAGTCAACCCTTCAATTTCGAGTTGACGTGGAAGATGCGAACCCCATTCACTGCGGTTGGCATTTCAAGCTTGAGCCACGCAAACCCACCCCCGGTGGTCCTCGGCAAACGCACGGCCAAGCAAAAGCGGGGTAAAGTTCCAGGCAAGGTCGGCGTACGTCGAATGGACTACGAGCGGTCGGTCCCTCCGGTAACGCTTTTATTCCGCTAATTTCTAACTTGCACGTAAGAGGCCTTGCAACACCTCTAACAGGGATGGTTTACGTTGCGGCAATCGCAAAGGGCGTTCGCGCACGAACGCGCCCGCAATTCGGGGCACTCCTCCCTTCGTAAACGAATAAAAGCAACGATTTACAAACCGTGTAACGCGCGCGGCGTTCCAAATCGTTAACGCGCATTAAGTTGGTCACAACGTGCGTTTATTGCTCGATAATTACAGCGAAGGTCCGAACGTGGCGATTGGGCGGCTGCGATCGCGTTCGAGTACATCATGGTGCTGGTGACGATCGCTGGTAACGATCGCTGGTGAAACTCGCCGTCCGCGCACTTGTGAGTGGGTGCGCGTGCGTGTGCCAATCATCGGCAGTGTTGCAGTTAGCGCTAAGCTACGAACCCGGCGGCACGAGTTCGATTCCCGCTCACGGCCAACACCCGTGGCGATTATCTGAACCGGTCCTAGGTCTCCCCTAGGTCGACTCGGCCTCAAATGAGTATCTGGTGCGGTGTGTTAACATCGCCGCCAGGGAGACAAAGGACGGTCAGGCGTTGTGTTGGCCACCCACCCCCTCGTGTGCCGTGCCGGCCTTCATAGGTGCTCGCTAACAGCACTTGCCCCAACAGTCTGTTAAGGCTATACAGGAGATCTTTGTCTTTGTGTGTGTCCGTGTGTGAATGCGCGGACGAGTGACAGCCGTAGCCCCTGTATGGCAGCTTGCTCGGGCCGCGTTGACCGGTATATTTGCATATGAAGAACAAAACACAACACGTTACGTATGCACGTTGGACTTCTTGAGTGTCGCACGTAACCAACGGTGCTGATCGAGGCGTGTGCGTTCGCGAATAAATTTGCAAAGGAAAATTTACCGAGCACCCGCGTAATGATTTATATTTTTTGTACTTCATCCCAATTTTATCCCGATTGTGCTTTCGGCGGTTCTATCCGGGAACAACTCCTGACATCCCATCAGGGGGCAGTACTTTCCCGCCGCCCTGCAACAGAAAGTGCGGTCGGTCGCATCGCAACAAAACCGATGTATTATGTATTTAATTCTTAAGAGCTGGAAATGCAGACCAATTAAATGCAGAACAAAAATGTAATGTCTTCTTGGTTCTTTCGGTAAAGTCACGTAGAATGGAAATAATAAAATACATTTTTTTCTTTGGTTCTTTCGGTAAAGTCAAGTATAAAGATAAAATAATAAATTAAATTAATCTTTATACGTAACTTTACCGAAATAACCAAAGAATAATTCCTGCAGTCACGAAAGCTCCAAATTAAGTTTGATACATTTTTTTTTTATTATTTCAATTCTACGTGACTTTACCGAAAGAACCAAAAAGATGAATCCCTGCAGTCACGAAAGCTTTAAATCAAAATTTAATGTGTTGGGGTTTTTCTTTTGCGTTCTGCAGTCATTGGTGAATGGGCTAAGACGATCAACCAGTGGTGAACCCTGGATTCGAAGCCAGGATCGCAGCTGTGCCAGATGAGTTGGTCCGAGCTCCGAGTCGCCCGGCCCCGCCTCATCGGAGGCGACATTTGAATCCTTAGGGCAATTAGTTGAAGGCGGATCAGAACCAGATTATCAAATAACCCAGCGACTAAAAGTCGGCTGCAGTGCAATAGGCAAACTGAATTAGGTAATGAAAAGGATCATGAATCTTCCTCGAGAATCCACCGTTTAAATCAGTCCACATTTTCAGCCATGGCGTAGATCAAGAAACACCGACGATGACAAGAGAGATGGATGGAACACGAGCTAAATCATGCGCAAATCGCGGAGACGGTCGCCCGCATTTATGCCGGGTGGCGAAAATGAGAAAAAAGAAACACGGATCAGGTATCGAACGCAAATCAAGAGATATCGCATCGACCTACTGATGAAAGCTGTGGGCATGGTCGAGAAGAGTGGCCTTCATCTAGCAGTGGATATACATTGGCTCACAGTGATGATGACGACGATGACGTTGATGATGCTTGATTTGAAGCTTTCGTGACTGCAAGGATTCATATTCTTAGGTTTTTTCGGTAAAGTCACGTAGGTAAAAATTAAAATTAATAAAAGTAAAATAAAATAAAAATCACGTTTCGGAGGCAACACAAGCTTCCACCTGAAGACGGAAGCTTGTGTTGCCTCCGAAACGTCGTGATTTTTATTTTATTTTACTTTTATTAATTTTGATTTTAAATTTTTACCTACGTGACTTAACCGAAAAAACCCAAGAATATGTCGATGATGCCGATGATGATGTCGGCACGAACGCGGCTTTGTCGAGGCGGCAGTGCCAATTGGGTGCTTTAAACGTAAGACTGCGCAGGAAGCACGGCTGCGGGATCTACGCCGTCCGCAGGAACTCTGCGCACCACAGCATCCAATCGTTCTCCGCGACACCGGGGGGCGAGAACAGCAGCTTCAAAAGCCTCGCGCGGAGACGAGCGGCAGAGGTGCAATATCACACCCCCCCCCCCCCACCCCCGAAACTAAGCGGCGCCCTCACAGGCATCGGAAATCAATGAGCAGCCCGGCGGATTTCCCGCTCGGGGGCCCACCTGCGCGCGGAAAGTGCTCCTCCACTTTTAATGTTTGGCCGTCGCGAGCCGACAAAAGCTTTCGCCGCCCCCCCCTCCTCCTCCCGTTCGATTGGATACGCCGCGGCAACGTGGGGGGGTGCGAAGGTGGCGGGATTATCCGGCGTGCCGCCCATCACCCGGTAAGATCCCGGTGTGGGGGGGGGGGGGTGTGGGTGGTGCAGGGGGGTGCAGTCTCAGTCAGCCCAGTCCTCCTCGCCGCCACCGCCGCCTCCGGGACTGCCGCTCCCCCCCGCGACGGCCGGAGGGGGCGGGATGGCGTCGGCCATGCGGGCAAATGCCCCGGACGACGACGACGACGACCCCGCGGCCGTCGAGGCATCCCCGCCACTCGCCTTGGAGCCCGAGATGCCTGCACGGGGGGAGGGCACGGGGGGAGAGGGCACGGGGGGAGAGGGCACGGGGGGGAGGGGTCACGGGGGGGAGGGGCATGGGGGGAGGGGCACGGGGGGAGAGGGCACGGGGGCAGAGGGGCACGTGAGTTCAGGGGGCCGACGGAGCCTGCTCCTCCGCCCCGCTCGCTCGAACAACGGCGTGTCGCGGCCCGGTGACGATCCGCTGCTCGTAGTCACGGTGGCCGTCGAGGTACGGTATAACAATGGGTGTCGCTGCACAGCCCAGCAAGTAGGCTGTTTAGACGAAGATCGGCACGGGTAGAAGTGGTGCGGGGCAGACGGGGAGAGGGTCGAGAGCGTCGCAGGCGAACGACCACGGTGCACTCGGTGGTCAAGGGGATCGTAAGAGCGCGACAAATGAGAGGAGTTGGGGCAGAAGACGGGGAGGGGTGGGTGGGGGGGGCAGCAGGGAAGATCAGTGGGGATCACGGGAGGAGGGTGCGTAGGAAAGGGGACGACAAACAGAGCGGCTAGCATGACGCAGGCCTCGCACCGGACACTGCACTACGCTGCACTACGCTGCACTACGCTGCACTACGCTGCACTACACTGCGCTACGCTGCCCCCGGGAGGAACAACCTCAAGTCATCCGGTGTACCCTCGCGGTAAACCGCGCGGGTTTGCGGGCTTACATGGCGCGCAATTTCAAAGCGCTTCACGACGGCGTTGCAATTACGACGGCGTCGCACGTCCACCCCCCCCAACCCACCCGAAAACCGAAACGGAGACAGCCGCATCACCGCCACGTCCCGTTCCCAATCTGCCGCGCGAAAAGGCGCTTCGCCCTCCACAAGGACTGGCGCAAAAGTGGGGGGGTGGGTGGTTCGGTGGGTGGGTGGTTCGGTGGGTGGTTCTGTGGGTGGTGGGTGGGTGGTTCGGCGAGTGGTGGGTGGGTGGTTCGGCGAGTGGTGGGTGGGTGGTTCGGCGAGTGGTGGGTGGGTGGTTCCGTGGGTGGTGGGTGGGTGGTTCGGTGGGTGGTGGGTGGGTGATTCGGTGGGTGGTGGGCGGGTGGTTCGGCGAGTGGTGGGTGGGTGGTTCGGTGGGTGGTGGGCGGGTGGTTCGGTGGGTGGTGGGTGGGTGATTCGGTGGTGGGTGGGTGGTTCGGTGGGTGGTGGGTGGTTCGGTGGGTGGTGGGCGGGTGGTTCGGTGGGTGGTGGGCGGGTGGTTCGGTGGGTGGTGGGTGGGTGATTCGGTGGTGGGTGGGTGGTTCGGTGGGTGGTGGGTGGGTGATTCGGTGGTGGGTGGGTGGTTCGGTGGGTGGTGGGCGGGTGGTTCGGTGGGTGGTGGGCGGGTGGTTCGGTGGGTGGTGGGTGGGTGATTCGGTGGTGGGCGGGTGGTTCGGTGGGTGGTGGGTGGGTGATTCGGTGGGTGGTGGGTGGGTGGTTCGGTGGGTGGTGGGTGGGTGGTTCGGTGGTGGCTGGGTGGTTCGGTGGGTGGTGGGTGGGTGGTTCGGTGGGTGGTGGGTGGGTGATTCGGTGGGTGGTGGGCGGGTGGTTCGGTGGGTGGTGGGTGGGTGAATCGGTGGGTGGTGGGCGGGTGGTTCGGTGGGTGGTGGGTGGGTGGTTCGGTGGGTGGTGGGCGGGTGGTTCGGTGGGTGGTGGGTGGGTGGTTCGGTGGTGGGTGGGTGGTTCGGTGGTGGGTGGGTGGTTCGGTGGGTGGTGGGTGGTTCGGTGGGTGGTGGGTGGGTGGTTCGGTGGGTGGTGGGCGGGTGGTTCGGTGGGTGGTGGGTGGGTGATTCGGTGGGTGGTGGGCGGGTGGTTCTGTGGGTGGTGGGTGGGTGATTCGGTGGGTGGTGGGCGGGTGGTTCGGTGGGTGGTGGGTGGGTGGTTCGGTGGGTGGGTGGTTCGGTGGGTGGTGGGCGGGTGGTTCGGTGGGTGGTGGGTGGGTGGTTCGGTGGTGGGTGGGTGGTTCGGTGGGTGGTGGGTGGGTGGTTCGGTGGGTGGTGGGTGGGTGGTGGGTGGGTGGTGGGTGGGTGGTTCGGTGGGTGGTGGATGGGTGGTTCGGTGGGTGGTTCGGTGGGTGGTGGGTGGGTGGTTCGGTGGGTGGTGGATGGGTGGTTCGGTGGGTGGTTCGGTGGGTGGGGAATTGTGGGTGACCGGGGCTCGTGAATAAAACATGAGGTGTGAGCGAGCGCGCTGGAAAGTTTTTGCCGTCACCACCGTCACCGCCGTCACCGCCGGGGAATAAGAAAGCGGCGAGCGGAGGCGACGGAGCGTGCCGAGTGGCCGTTATGTAAGCGCGCGGATTAGTCCGTAACGGCGTGGCGGAGTGCCGACGATAAAATTATAATGCGAGATTCAATTGGATTTTACAAAACGAGGAGGAGGAGGAGGAGGTTATTTAGATGGGATTGCTCTGGGCTCTGGGTGCCCCCATGCCGGCGGATTGGTTCGCTCATTCCCGACCGCTCGCACCTCAAGCGCATGGATCCCAACGACAAAATACGCACTGGAAGAGGCGGCGTGCGTACGTACGTAGAAGTTCTTTGGCGCGGTACGTAGCCAGCCGTGCTAATCCAAGGTGCGGGGGAAGGACAACAAACTAAACACAAAGAGCAGTTGGTAAGAAATGAGTTTTCAATCTCGATTTGAAAAGCGCACAGCGCTCTCGGTGGCTTCCCAATATCGCGCGTGAAAGTGCAGGGGGGGAGTCAATCTAACAAGTGCGTTCATTTTCACACGCAAAGTGAAAAAGATCCCCCCCCCCCATGTAGCTCCTGACAAGCTTTATCGGGCTGTTTGTGAACGCCTCTGAAGGCTGCGATGGCACAAGACGGGGTGGGTGGCCAGCACCACGTCCGGCAGCCTTTGCCTCCCCAGTGGCGATGTTTACTACACGCCGCACCAGGTGCTCATTTGAGCGGGAGTCGACCTAGGGGAGGCCCATTTTCACAAAGACATACTCTAAGCCAGTGGTCCCCAACCTTTTTGGCACCAGAGACCGGTTTCGTGGAAGACAATTTTTTCACGGACCGGGAGGTGGGGGGGGTCATCATTGGGTCACAGCGACGTTTGTTTTTTACTCATTTTGGCTAGGGCTCACAGCTTGTGGCATTACCAACACTGTGACTGGACTGTGACAAGTGCGCAGTGCGGGAAAGAAGCGCGGACGGAAGTGGTAAATAATAAAATAATGGGGGCGGGCCACGCACGGACTCACCGCTCCCCTACTGTTGTGCGGCCCGGTTCCTAACAACCGGGGGTTGGGGACCCCTGCTCTAAAGGCATGTTTCAAAATGCGGAGGAAAAAAACCAGAGGACCCGGAGAAAAATCCACGCGACCACAGGGAGAACATGCCAACACCAAATGTACAGCAGGCGTCGGGGTCGGGATCGAACCCATGGCCTCCTGTACACCAGGCGAGGTGGTTAACACTTCGGCATCGTTACACAGGGTGGCAGCCGCGATTGTAATGGCGCGCGCGTAGTCACCGGGGAATTGGGTTTTAAAACAAATAACGATCATCTCCGTGTTTCTAAATTGAGTCATGCACGGCAAATTTTGAGAAATCCCATTACGGTAATGTGTTCTTTTTCCTTAGCGTGGCCGTGTTTTTTTTTTCTTCGCGTTGGCGTTCGTGTTCTGAATTTTTTATTACGACTTCCGCGCAGGGTCAGGTTTGAGCTGATCTGGACCTCTGTGAAGAAGAGCTTCATGGGCCATACGTGAGGAGGACACGTGGCACAGTTTGGCGCCGGCTGTCGTCGCTGCGGTCGTGTCGCTAGAGTTCTCTGCGGTGAATAACAATGTCTTCGGAAACGACGGCGCCGCCACTACGCCTCTCAAAATAAAATGAACGCCGTGCCGCTCGCTCGTGCCGAGGTTCAGGAGGCGAACGGCGACACCGACACCCTGCGACGACTTGCAGACTTCTCGGAACGGGAAAGGGTGAATGGGGGGCACACGTTGGGACGTTTGCAATCGTCATCTGGTCCAACACCATGTGAGACTAGGCTCTAAGGAAAGCTGTCTCGGGTGTGGACCAATCAACTTCAAGGACAGTGCATACATTATCAGAGTTGTGTTTTTTGTTTGCATTATGACTGCAGGTATTATGGTCTATGTAAACATGACTCCTTGTAAAAAAGGTGTCAGTTTTGTTGCCAGATAGAAGGGTAAAAAAGCAATTATCATATTTTTTTACTGGCAAATGAGGTTCCAATGGTGTAAATGCTTACCCCGAGCTCTCATACTCTGATGGTGCATTGTCTTTGAGTTGTGCGCCTTTTGGCGTCATCTGGTCCAACCCATGCGAGACTAGGCTCTAAGGAAAGCTGTCTCGGGTGTGGACCAATCAACTTCAAGGACAGTGCATACATTATCAGAGTTGTGTTTTTTGTTTGCATTATGCTGCAGGTATTGTGGTCTATGTAACATGACTCCTTGTAAAAAAGGTGTTCAGTTTTGTTTGCCAGATAGAAGGGTAAAAACAATATCTATTTTTACTGCAAGGAGTCCAATGGTGTAAATGCTTACCCCGTAGCTCTCTACTGATGTGCATTGTCTTTGAGTTGTGCGCCTTTTGGCGTCATCTGGTCCAACCCATGCGAGACTAGGCTCTAAGGAAAGCTGTCTCGGGTGTGGACCAATCAACTTCAAGGACAGTGCATACATTATCAGAGTTGTGTTTTTTGTTTGCATTATGACTGCAGGTATTGTGGTCTATGTAAACATGACTCCTTGTAAAAAAAGGTGTCAGTTTTGTTGCCAGATAGAAGGGTAAAAAAAACAATTATCGTGAGAGTTTGTCGCGGCTGCATCTTTCGGCAATTGCGCGCGTTCAGCGCGGTATCAGAATCAGAATCTTGACTTCGACTGGAGGCATCTGATGAGCTATGAAGCTTTTTTTTTCCACAGATGACCACTATGAGATCACACATCACACCGAAACTCAAATCCCTCCACTGGCTCCCAACCCAATCTGGGATTAAGTTCAAGATGGCACCACTCACCGTTCTCAGTATCCCCTCCAGAATCGCCCCGACTTAACTCTCCCCTCTCACCTCGCTCTAATCCCTTCCTCGCACTCTCCTACGTCTCCCCTCTCGTCTCGTATAATTACGATCCATCCCTAGCACCACAACATGTTGGGTGAGGGAACCTCAGCGGTTCACTCCAAAATGGCATTTTAAAATATCCGTGTCATTTCCCCCAAATTAATTCCCGATTGCGCTATGGGCATCACTGCACGGCACGAGAACGGTGCACGGAAGCGGATACCACAGAGCTGCCTCTGAAACCCCTTTCAACTTGACCTCTGGTCGACAAAGGGGCAGGGGGGGGTGGAGGTACTTTCCCACCCGCACGATACAACCAACATTGATAGTCTTAATTGTTGAACTTTTTTCTTCGTGGTTCTTTCGGTAAAGTCACCAGAGGTGGGACAAAGTCATTGTTATGCAAGTCCAAGTCGAGTCTGAAGTCATCAAATTCATGACTCGAGTCTGACTCGAGTCCAAGTCACATGACTCGAGTCCACACCTCAGAGGTGGGACAAAGTCATTGTTATGCAAGTCCAAGTCGAGTCTGAAGTCATCAAATTCATGACTCGAGTCTGACTCGAGTCCAAGTCACATGACTCGAGTCCACACCTCAGAGGTGGGACAAAGTCATTGTTATGCAAGTCCAAGTCGAGTCTGAAGTCATCAAATTCATGACTCGAGTCTGACTCGAGTCCAAGTCACATGACTCGAGTCCACACCTCTGAAAGTCACGTAGAAAGGGAAATAATAAAATAAATAAAATAAAACATAAAATAATTCTCACGACGTGTCGGCCACAACGCAAGCAGCCGTCCGCAGGTGAAGAACAGGTCTGGACGGAAAGACAGCATCTGAATGAAACACCACCAGGCTTGGAAGCGTATATTTAAGCTGGGTTGTTGAACTTTTTTCGCTCCGTACGTAGCCAAACGTGCTCATCGGGGGTGAGGGCGAGACCTGGACTCGATCCCATTTGAGCTCGGCATCAAATTTGGCGCGACGGATTTTTTTGCGCACGCGTTGGTGTGACCGGTCCCGGTCGATCGCCAACTCACTCGCGGCGCTTGAGAACCCCGTCGAAGTACGTGCAGTGGGCTGAAGAAGCACGGATTTGACCCCAGGACTCTGCCCTCTGAGCCACCCAATCACGCTCTTCTCCAGTGCCACGGTGAGCCGCTTGCCGGCTGATTGGTCGGGAGAGGGGGAGGGTAGCTCTCGCATCGCTCGCTCGCTCGCTCACCTTTACGACGCAATTGGAGCTTGTTAAAGAGGTCGGACATCAGGTCACCTCCCGCCGCCACGCCAGACGCTGCACACGGCAGGCATATGCACACATGGACACACACAAACATCCCCCCGCAGAGCTTTTAACAGACTGCTGGGGCAAGCGCTGTCAGCGAGCAGCTATGAAGGCCGGCACGGCACACGAAGGGGGTTGGTGGCCAGCAACACTCGTGACCTCCTTTGCTTCCCGAGTGGCGATGTTTACACATCGCACCAGAGTCGACCTAGGGGAGGCCCAGGACTTGTTCCGCACAGACCCGATGGACACACAGACAAAGACAAAAGATCCCCCGTGTCACATTAACAGATTATCGGGGCTGCTAGCGAGCACCTATGACAGACATACACACACAAAAACCGATGAGCCCTGTGCAGTGGTCACCACTGGAATAAGGTGACTGCCAAATAACAGAGAGACAGAGAGCCAGTGAGAGATACGAGACATACAGCGAGAGAGCCAGCGAGAGAGACAGACAGAGAGAAAGAGAGAGAGAGCCAGTAAGAGATACGAGACAGACAGAGAGACAGTGAGAGATGCTTGCAGGTGGCCGTCACGGCCCACTACCCTCATTTTGGCGACGGTGCCCGCCACGCATGCAGTACCCAGAAACCTCCACCAAGCGGCAGCAGCGGCCCGGCTTCGTGACAAACCTCTCTCTCTTTCTAGCCCTCTTGCTCTTTCTCGCTATCTCGCCCTCTCTCTCTCACTCTCTCTCTTGCGCTCTCGCTCTCTCACTCTCTATCTCACTATCTCGCTCTCTCTCGCACGCTCTCTCTCTCTTGAGCTCTATCTCGCTCTCTCTCTCTCGCTTCGGGCGCGTTCAGCGCCACGATCCAACGCGATCGAGCGCAGGTGGCGCGCTTCCGCACGAGCTCGACGACAACGACGCCGCCGCCGCGCCCTTCGCCAGTGTCAACGCGCCGTCGCGAGCCGTTGGTGACGACGTTTTAAAATCGGTCGAGGGCCACTGTTCGTATGTCTCCTCCGCGACACCCTCGGGGTGAAACTCGCAAATCTCGCTCAGTGAACGCCGACGACCGGGATGTGCTCCTCGTCAACGCTTTGCCGACAGTCCGAGCAAAGGGCCCTCCCCGTTCGTCTTGTTGCCTGGGCCCGCCCCGGGCTGCCGAGATTGATGTTCGCTGGCCTGAGCTGCGGCGGCCAGAGAGAGGGACTGCGGGGGGCATGACACCACGAGTAAGATGAGCCAACAGTAAAGAGGCAAAACGCTGCGTGGCTCTTCGCACCTTATCCGTAATGGCCTGGCAAGAAAATCGTACAGGAAGTCCGCGCCGAGGAAGGGGATGGGAGAGATGGAAGCAGCTCGCGTGAAGGTCCTGGGTGGATTGTCACGTTGCCGGATCGCGGGAGACGGCCGGTGGCTTGACAGGTGGCTTCATTCGGCAGTAGCTAGCTCGTGGCCGACGACGATGATTATGATGATGACAATGATGATGATGACGATGGCAAAGATGAGCGATTCATTCCCGGTCTCTCCCGGGCGTTTCGACGAGTTGTCCCGATTCAGGGTTGCTATTAGATTCAAGGTTCGATGAAAATGTTTTGCTACGTTGCGATAAAAGTAGCAGCGGACACTCTCGTGGTGCAGAAAATAAGAGAGGGGTGGAGCGGTGGGGCAGTGGCCACCCACAAGCATGGCAATGGAGGTGAAGAGGCAGGAGTTAGAGGTGCAGCCCTGCAATGGCTTGCTCGAGCCACCGCTGGTAGAAGGGCCAGCAGTGGCATTGAAGGAGCCATACTGTTTTGTTCTTTTGGTAAAGTCACGTAGGTGAAAATAAATAAATAAAATGAAAAAAAAAATAGAAATAACTACATTTTGTCCTCACCTGATGACGGACGCTTGTGTTGCGCCCGAAACGTCGTGATTTAATTAAGTTTTTTCTATTTTTATTCTTTATTTTTATTCTTATCTTTTATTTTAAAAAAATATTTTCTTTTTTTTTTCACCTACGTGACTTTACCGAAAGAACCAAACAGTATGGATCCTTGCAGTCACAAAAACTTCAAATCTAGAATTGAAGGAACCTTCGTAACAAACAAACAAAAAGAGCCTTGAGACTTGACGAATCTCTCCCGGATAGACAATCTGCATCATCATCATCATCACGATCCACGGGCAGATAGCCAGGAGGTGTCCCACTGCACATTTCATCATTTATCTTCTTGGTTCTTTCGGTAAAGTCACGTAGAAGGAAAATAATAAAGTAATAAAATAAAATATAATAAAATCATTCTCACGACGTTTCGGCCACAACGCAAGCAGCCGTCCTCAGGTGGAGAACAGGTCTGTCGAGAAGACAGTCTGAATGGCACGCCCCAGGCTTGGAGCGACTATTTAAGCTGGGATGGAGGGGTGAAGAGCGTCTTGACAAAATAATTTCCATATCAATAGGAATTTAGCATATTTATGGTAAATGCAGATATGCGATTAGTACTACTTGTGAAGTGCGTAGGAGGTTTGGCGAGGGGTATAAAGTCATTATGCCCGTGCATTATGCAGGATTAGCAGTATCAAAGGGAGGGAGTAAGGTTAGAATTAATAAAGGGAAGGAATGTTAATAATATAAAATTTCATCTTTTGTTTCCACTTTCCTCCGTCTTGCGCCAATATGCTCAGGTGGTGACACATCTTTCTGGCACAAGCCATTTCTCTGCCATGTCTTTCTTCTCTTTCCCGCACAACGCCACTTTACAGTGAGGGAAATAAGTATTTGATCCCCTGCTCCTAATCTCAGCTCGTTGCCTGTATAAAAGACATCTGGGAGCCAGAAATCTTTCTGATTGAGAGGGGGTCAAATACTTATTTCCCTCTTTAAAATGCAAATCAATTTATACAATTTTTGACATGCGTTTTTCTGGATTTTGTTGTTGTTATTCTGTCTCTCACTGTTCAAATAAACCTACCATTAAAATTATAGACTGATAATTTCTTTGTCAGTGGCCAAACGTACAAAATCAGCAGGGGATCAAATATTTTTTTCCCTCACTGCTGTTGCCCATCACACACACACGTGCCCAAACAAACGATATCTTTGCAGCAGCCTCGCGTTCAGACGCTCCATACACCAGAGGTGCGTTCCCCCCGTCAGCGTTGGCTCGGATGTACTATTATTCTTTTCCAACGTGCCATCTCTGCTAATTATACCTGACCCGGCCCCCACCTGTGTCTCTAGGACAGACAGCGCGCAAATTAGGAAAATCTCTTAACAAGACGGGACCAGGAGCCATCTGTCGTGCCGGGGAGAAACCGACAGGGGGGGGGCATACCGCGTGTTTTCTGGAATGCAAAATAAAAGTGTGAAATAAAACTGGCACGTAATTTGATTCGCGTCAAATGCTGGCGTTGAGGGAGCGTGCCAAGCCCCGCCTGCGCCGTCGATCAACGCGTCGTGAATGAAGCGACGCTTGAATTCAATAACCGAATACACTGCTCAACAACAACAACAAAAAACATTTTTTTCTGGCCTCGACTTTTGCAGCTGTTTTAGACTAATTTCAGGGTGCCGATTCCAAATCTGATCTCAGATTTGCTCTATCACATCTCATTCTTATGCTATCGGCATACCCCATTTTCATTGATTTTACCCGAAATTCACTCTGTCATTTATGATTGCAAGTTGTTGCGAGTCAGTGACTGATTTAGTGTTAAAATATGGTGCTGTATGTTTAGGATAGTGCGTTTATAATATAATTTTATGTAGACATCCACATTAATTCAATATTTTTCTTCTGCAGTTTTTATTGAAAATGCAATATTTAAATATCTCAAAAACCTGATGTGATAGACAAAAAAAACTGATGCCAGATTTGGAATCAGCACCCCAAAATTACCTTAAAACCGTTGGAATACCTTATGCCAGAAAAAGTGTGTTGACCAGTGATATCACCGCAGCAACGCTTATAAAAATTATTTCATAGTCGTACAAAAAACTCATTACGCGCTCTGTGCGTGCGTGGACGTTTTCGCGGCCCTTTTGCAAATCCACCGCCAGATGACGGCCTCTGTGCCCACGCCGTGCGGGTCGTGGGGGTGAGTCAACCTCGACAGGCTTGCCAGTAAGGGCTGAGCCTGGATTGCCGGTGTGCTGTACTAGTGTAGTGCCATAAGAGGAGAGGGGCTGCTGGGGGCTCTGGGACCCTAGACAGATAAGCCCTCGGCGCCAAGCGCTGAGATCCCAGACAACCCAGACAGTTAAGCCCCTTGGCGCCACCAACGGGGGGGGCTGTGTGTGCTCTGTGGGATATCTGGGGGTGCACACAACCCCACCCCTCGTTGGGGACGAGGTATAAAAGGGCAGCTCCCTGGCCGATCGGGGCCAGTCGCAGCTCAAGACCCAAGACCCGCCAGCCAGCCAGCTTAGGACCCTGGACTCCCTCGTCCCGCTTGTCCTTGTAAGGGCCGGGACGCTGTGAGGGCCAGTGGTGGGACTCTGGGACTCCCGGCTCTACGTCCTTGTAAGGGCGAGTTCCGAGGAAGCCAGAGTCCAGACCCGCACCTTGGCTGGGACGGGTCAGGTAGCCTCCCCTAGGGTAATTGTAGCCGGAGGACCCCAGAGCGTATCTAGGCTGTGTACCTAGGCTGTGTACCTAGGCTGTGTACCTAGGCTGTAACAGAGTATCAGGACTGTTGGAGTGTTGTATTGTAATAAAGAAGTTACCTCTACAAGTGTCTCCAGAACCCATTACACTGTAACGAATTGGCCACGTTCTTGACTTAAAGCTTTCGTGACTGCAGGAATTCATATCCTTTTGGTCTTTCGGTAAAGTCACGTAGATAGGTTCAAAGAAAAAAACAGAAACTACGACGTTTCGATCGCAACTTCGTAGTTTTTGTTCTGTTCTTTTAACCATTCTACGTGACTTTACCCAAAGACCCAAAGGATACGGCCACATTCTGTTTACATAACACAACCCTACTGATTGGCTATCGGGTGGTGGCGGGTTTAACGACACATATTACCCAAACAAAAACTACATTACAGATGATATTGGTTGTGAAAACCTACTACAGTAGGTGTTAAACTGAAGGTTGGCGAAGGTGGGGGAGGTTTGGGGAGAGTAGACGCGGGAGCATAGAAGTACAGGGCAACTATGGATTTTGTTGCGTGTGCCCCGCTGATACCCACCACCGAGTCCCGGCAGCCCCTCTCTCGCAAGCCGTGAATGGTGGTCGCCCATCCAAGGGCAATCCAGGCTCAAGCCTGCTTAGCTTGGCCTCCGAGCTCTGACAAAATCGGGCGCATTGCGCACCTACGATTGGCACGGCTGGCTACGTACGGTGCGAAAGAAGTTCAACATGCATACAGGTGCGCTTCTACGGCCGTCTGGAACGCTCTTCCTTCCGATATTAGCAAGCCACTGGAGTTATGCACTTTGAAATCATCGGAATTTTAAAACTCATTTATTTACAAGTGCTCTTTGTGTTTAGTTTTCTGTGCTTCGCCCCCCCCCCCAACACACGTCCGGATGGTTACGTAGAGTGCGAAAGAAGTTCAGCATACACATTCTAGTTTGACACGTAGGCTTTCGCGACCAATATTATTCGTAAAAAAAAACGTTGATTATGAATACACATTCTAGGTGATACTGCAGCAATGGGTTGGCGGCAATGATGGACACCCGTGATGGAAGACCTTGAAGAGAAGTGTTCGGTGGATAGCACGGGGGAGATGTAGACATCACAACCACGTGAGCCTGAACACGCGGACCAAACTTAACGACTCTCTCCCTCTCTCCGTTCGTCTTCTTTCGTACGGCTGACGTATACACCTTCTTGGTTCTTTCGGTAAAGTCACGTAGAAGGGAAGTAATAAAATAATAAAAATAAAACATAATAAAATAATTCTCACGACGTTTCGGCTACAACGCAAGCAGCCGTCTTCAGGTGAAGAATGAGACACTGCCAAGCTTGGAGCGTATCTATAAGCTGGGTTGATGTATACACGCCGAGCAAACGACGACAATTTCACATTCAGGTGGCCAAGCCCAGGTAACCGCGTCAGGAGACAGCGGAGGAGTAGTGCATCATCGCCGTGACGTCTCCTTCCTATGTGTGGATCGGGGCACTGCGTCGTTCCACGTCCCTCTCTCTCTCTCTAATTGATGCACACAGCGTTGAGACGCTGTCCGCCCGTCCTCGCGGCCCTGGCTCGCGATGGTTAAGCGTCTTGCACACATCGCAGCGGCTTCAATTAGCAAGCGGGGAGCAAATGGCACCGTCTCGGATCGATACCGTTGCATTATTCGTCTTCAACGCACACGACCTTTTCAAGACATCGATCGACCCACCTACCCCCCCACTTCCCCCACCACCCCCCTCTCCGGGGGCATCATCCGCTTCTCTATCCTGCCCGCCCCCCCATCCTCCCACAACCCCCCAGCTTCGACAGCACACGTCCTAACAACTGAGGGGTGTAATCGCTCACGAAGGAAGGAAGGAGCGAGAGAGAGAGAACGGATAGCGATGGTGGACGGGAGAGAGGCAACAGGGCGGGGCGTGTCGACGGCCGTTGCCGCCGTTGCTGCCCGCGCGGTCAACTCGTTTCTCTGGGACCTCCTTTTGTGTTCAGTTTGTTGCCCTTACCCCGTGCGGTGTGAAAAAATTCAACGTCGATACATACAGCCGAGGTAAGAGCGAGAGGAAGTCCACTCAGGCGGCGATGGGGACACGTCGGTTAATGGTTAGGGGCCGAGTCAACCCCGGTGAGGCCCATGCCCTTCCCACGCACCACCGATAAGCACGGTTGGCTACGTACGTGTGTGCGTACGTACATACGTACGCACGGTTAGCGGAGATGCGCCGGTCCGTGAGCCAAAGTGGTTCTCATTCGAGCGGCGGAAAGTGGCGCAGCGGTAGTGCCCGTGCCTCGAAGGCAGCTTGGGGCCTGGGTTCGGTTCCCCGCCTGGAGCGCCCCTCTCTGTGTGGAGGTTTGTATGTTCTTCCCCTGCTCTGTCCGGGTTTCCTCCGGCGTCTCCAAGCTCCCTCCCCGGTTCTCCGGTTTCCTCCCATAGCGAGTAACATGCGACGGGATTGGTGTCACGCAACCACGCAACCATCACAATGTAGCAGGACCCTCCTTGAAATCAGTCTTCGGACTCGGTGTGGTTTTCCTGGGTAAATACGTTTATTATTATTATAATCATATTCCTCCACATTCCCTCGATGAAACATGTACGTGTAACTGAAAACCAGCAGCGGTGCCTGTTATTTGTCCGTTTCTGAATATTATTCTGCATTAAGTCAAATCGTCTGGGACAGCTCAAATCGGTGTGGGCAAACTATTGTTGCTATTCGTGACCCCCAGCCACAGCCCCCCCCAGGGCGACTGCCCCGGGCCCCGCACTTTGGCGACCCCCCCCCCCCCCGCCGCGGCTTGACGTCACCGTGTCAGATGTAATACTTGTGGTTTAGCTTGAAAGCAATCGGGGGGGCGGGTTACACCGTGTGCGATTCGTCTCGGGATCCACAACCCACCACTCCCTCCCCACCTACGGACGGCTCTACCCGCAGCCAGTGTCAGAAACGTCCCCAGATTCTTAACGGCGTTGGCTGATCTCCGTGATGGCACCACGGCCGCTATTGACTCCCCCACAAAGCGGAATTCATTGAATCTATCCCTCGAGCGACACCGGACCCAGTCAATACCCCAAACCGGGATTTTAAACTCGAAACCTCTCAGCAGTGAGTTACGCACTCTAATCACATCGCTCTCCAGCCGCGCGCTATTACCGTTAAAGCCGCGCTACCATCGTTCACATTGAACACGTGCACGGGACCTCTCGCCAATTCGCTGCTAGGAGTTCACTGACCGCACTTCACCACGTTGGTCAGCGAGGGTTGGCGAAGGCGGACGCCATAGTGCAAAGGAGTGCAATTCAACAACCGCCCCAAACATAGCTCCATCACAGCAGCCTCTGACACCTGTTACGCATGGCTGGTGGCCCATCCGAGCACCGTTAAAGTATCGGTGCCAGGAAGATGTTGGCCCACTGCTTGAGCAAGTTCGCACACGACACGGGAAAGTGGAAATAAATGACGAAATGCGCAGCGGACGCCTACGGGCTATCTGCCCGTGGATCGTGATGATGATGACGACGGCGGTGGTGATACATTTCCACTTGATAAGCCACTTCACTTCGTCGAGTCGTCGTTTGTGGCCGAGTCGATTCTGACAAAGCGCTACGTAGCTCTGAGTGGGCCTTACCTGGTGAAATAAGAATGGTGGCATCGTGTACGTATGTGTAGCATCACTACCGTGTACGCACGCACATGTGTCACGTCACCGTGCGGGGGAGGTCTACACACACACATGACGTCATCCCGGCTGGAGGCGGGAATGACGTCAGGGCCGATTCTGGACTCGGGAGGTGCTGTGAGGTCGTGGCACTCTCTGTGATCCCGGCTGGACACGTGACCGGATCCCAGTGGGGGCCGGGGGCCCAGGGGGGCATCGGGAGGCACGTGGACAGCAGGGGGGGGGGGGGAGCTTCGAGAGGGTTCTAGAAGGGAGGCGTGGCCGGGGTGGGGCCCGGGGCACGCCGAGGCCCATATCAGCAGCCTCCTCACGAGGTTCGGGGCTGCCCGTGCCAAGAATGAAGACGCATCGTGAAGACGCCAAGAAGAGTCAAGGCCTCCAGTCAGCGGACCTGCCAGTAGCCCACCTGGCTGGGTCCCGCTAGAGTATCTGAGAGAGGAGTGTGTGTGTGTTAGCCGGAGTAGGGCGGTGGTCACCACCCTTTGTGGAATGTAAGAGATAACTGTTGTGTCCAGTAAGAAATAAGTGTTGCCTCCCAAGAAGTTGTGTGTGCCTAAATTCGAACTCACTACGTATGTGTAGTGACATATGACGTCACTACTGTGTCAGCCCGTACGAGGGCTGGGGGCCACAAGGGGGTGCCTGGGGGGTCACGTGGTGGAGGGACCCAGACCTTCCCGTGAGGTGGGGGAAGGGAGGCGTGGCCTGGGCAGAGCCGGCCACGCCGTAGCGGATATAAGCGTGGTGTGAACGCAGAGCGAGGCTGTTGTACTGTACTCCGAAGTGAAGACGACATCATCGGTCGTCAAGTCCCGGGTTGTCGTCCTGGGCCAGGCAGGCCGCAGCCTGCCTGGTCCAGTCTGTGTCGTGTTCCAGAGTGATTAGTGAGTTGAGGAAGGTGGTCACCACCTCATGTACAGTGTTATATTAATTCTAGATTTGAAGCTTTCGTGACTGCAAGGATTCATATTCTTAGGTTTTTTTCCGGTAAAGTCACGTAGGTAAAAAATTAAAATTAATAAAAGTAAAATAAAAAATAAAATAAAAAAATAATCACGACGTTTCGGAGGCAACACAAGCGTCCGTCTTCAGGTGGAACCGTCACAGCACGATAGCTGTACTTTAATCAATTTAAATTTTTTACCTACGTGACTTTACCGAAAAAACCTAAGATTAGTGTTATATTACTTACCGTTTAATAAATAGTGTTGCCTCCAAGCTGTGTGTGTGTGTGTGTGCACCTAATTCGAACCCACTACGTATGTATGGATGCATTAAATTTCGATTTAAAGCTTTCGTGACTGCAGGGATTCATCTTCTTGGTTCTTTCGGTAAAGTCACGTAGAAGGGAAGTAATAAAATAATAAAAATAAAACATAATATTATTACTTCCCTTCTACGTGACTTTACCGAAAGAACCAAGAAAATATGGATGCATTCTCGAACTTATTTTGTGTAGCAGCGGAGGAGCCACTGGTCGTACCTGACTGTTCTTTCTGCTTCTTCTTCTCGAACTTGCGCTCCTTCACCTTGCGCAGGGACGTCTTGCCACCGGCCTGGCGGATCGACTCCAGCAGGTTGGCCCGGTTCCCCGAGGGCTGCGCTATCTCGCTCGGGGCGCCCTGCAAAACCCCTGCGGAAAAGAAGACAAGTGGGCCCTTAACCTTGTGAAATGAAAAAATAATTGTTTCTTATTTAGGGGCGATGTTGCCGTGCCCAATCCCGATCGAGCGATGTGCCCGCGTCATTTTCAAATCCGGCAAAAAAACTTACAACGTGACGTCGTTGGGCAAGGGCGGGGCCGATTGGCGTGTGGCGACGTCACGTTCTACGTTTTTTGCCGGGTTTGAAAATGACGCGGGCAAATCGCTCGATCGGGATTAGGCGCAGCAACATCGCCCCCCCTGAACTCCGAACTGTTTTCTTTTTGCATTCTGCAAGGTGAAAGGCCCACCGCGAAAGCAAAGATGGCACCGCACCTCACGATTACGACCGCACCGATTTTACCGAGGGCGGGGTTCCCTGCCGGATTCGAACCGCAAACCCAATGCAAACAAACGGGGGAAACGTACTTATTTGAGGCCGAGTCGACCTAGGGGAGGCACAGGACCGGTTGAGATAATCGTCACTGGGTGTTGGCCGTGAGCGGGAATCGAACCCGGGTCGCCAGGTTCATAGCGCAGCGCGCTAACCGCTACACACATGAAAGTACACACGCGTGCACACACACACACACACGCACGTGCGCGCATGACCCTGGAAGTTTATTAACATGTGTTGTGCTCTCGAGGTGTCTAGGTGGCTAAGTGGTCAGGGCGATGCGATGGGAACCTGGGTGTCGGCCACCTGTGATTCAATCGGACTCCTGCAGCGCAGTGGAGTTGATGTTCACAGGGTTGGCACAACAACAACAACAGCAGCAACAACAACAGCAACAACAACAACAGCAGCAACAACAACAATACCCTTCACGTTCAAATGTGGCGCTGGTAAATAACAAAGTTGGCCTAAATTCCAGTTCTGAAAATTTTAAATATTTGTTTTACTGCCATGGAAATATTACTCGAATTGCTGCCCCCTACCGTGCTGACCAGAGGGTAACAAGGAATATGAAGGGATGTGAGATTTTAGCACGATGTAAGACCGAAACTGGAGGATTTCTCCACAACTGTGGCTGTCCGCCCCGATGATATTGGTTGCAATTACTGGCGAACCGTCACGGTCCTCAAATTGTAAATGTTGTGGGTTGATTCTCCAACACGTCGGTGTGCTGAACGAGTGACGAATTAAATTTTTTTTTAAAGTGACAAACCTTACTAATTGGCTGTGTCACGTGGTTCCGGGTTTAACGACACATTTATACATCTTCGCGGTCTCACCCAAAAACCTCTTATTATATCCGCTTATGTGGGCCGCTCTCGAACGCAAAGTGTCGCACTGCGTTGGGAGTGCAACGGATTCGATGATTTATCATCTCGCCGACACGATCGGGATAAAATCGTGAAGAGAAAAAGATATTTACCAAACGGACAGACAGACAGAGAGAAACCCGTGCGCTCTCACCAAACAGGAAGGGTAACACAGCAGCAAGGAACTGGGCAGTCTCACTGCATCGCTTGCCACCGCACGGCTCGGTCGATTCCTCGATAGGATGAAACGTCGGCGGAGCACAGAGAGCAGGCTCTGTCATGTGACGTCCAGGGTCAAGATGGAGCCGAGACCTATCGTTTTATTTGCCGCTCTTCGGTCAATAACGGCGCAAATTACACGAACGTTTTCTCTCCGCCCCCCCCCCCCACACCCAAGCGAACAAACGTGAGGTTACAAACGAGGACCCAAAACGTTATCGCGATAAAAGTTATCGACGGAGCTTGAGAGCTCGTGATGCCACTTTCACAACAATAAAAAATTGCCATTAACGATCGTAAATTTAGACGTGTGGTACAGCATCGCTCGGGCGACAAGAGGTCGCGCGGCGGTTGAGAGTGCCGTGCTGAGAACCCGATGACCCGAGTTCGATTCGCGGCGCCACTGCTGCCGTCAGGGTCAACGTGATATTTGAAGTGGTCCCTTATCTTGCTCCCTTGAGCAGCCCAGCCTAACCAGCATGGTTAAGCACGGTCGATCAATCCGGTTGGGGGTAGACGTTCATCCAGCAGTAGATTTTAAAACGGCTGCAAATTGTTACTATTATAGGGCCACCATGGTGGCGAGATGTTGAATACCTTGCCTGGTATACGGGAGGTCGTGGGTTTAATTCTAACCCTGATGACGCCTGCTGTATATTTGTAGTTTACATGTCTCTCTCTCAGTTGTGGCGTAGATTTTCGTCCGGGCCCTGCACTTTTTCCCTCCACATTTAGAATCAACGTGCGTTTCGAGTATTTGGTTGCGATACATTTCCACGTGATAAGCCACTTTGGTTGAGCTGACATTTGTGCCCACGTCGCTCAGCTGGACCCTATCTGGTGAGATAAAAAAAGCTTATAGTTTTATAAACATACATTATTTTTTTTACTCGTAATCATCGGTTAAAAAAAAAAAAACCCAAAAGGAATTAGCTCCTAACCTGTGGCCAGACGAGATGTATTGATGGCTTTGCACAAGCAGAGATGGATGGCCTAATCTCGCAACGCCGGGCGGCTTGCAGGAAATCCCACGCTGTTGCTGCTGCTGCTGCTGCTCCTAGCCGGAGCGCTCGTGACTCAAAACGCCTCGCGAGCTCCAAGCTCAGCCGACCGCGACAGATTGATGGAGTTGGGGGCGGCGTGGGGGGGGGGGGTGGTGTAAAACAGATCGAAATTCCCTCCACCGACGCGTGACGCCGGCAAAACTTCTTATTAGGACGCGGCACGCGCAGAGAGAGATCGACAGAAAGAGGGCGGCACTCGCGACGCGCTTGCGCGTGGCGCTTGCGAGGGCCCCACCGAGCGAACAGCGCCCCCCCCCCCCCGCCCGCCCGCACCCCCGCAACTTTGTGACTCGATGAATTAGAATCCACTTAGTTGGGCGCGCGGAATGCGCTCCCGCGATTGTTCGCAGGGCGCCCCAGGGCACGCGCGCGCGTGCAACGAGATAGCGAACTTTGCTTCTTCAAAAGCAGCTTTAACTCATCCAATCGCAATGCTCTCGCCACAGGTGAGCCACGGGGGGGGGGGGGGGGGGAGTGCAAGGTGGGAGAAACGAGGAACAGGGGGGGGGGGATGGACGGGGACTCACGATTCACAGATAAATGTGAGCCCGCATCTAAGGGGCAATTTCCACCCTTTATCTGCACCTGGAACGACATCAACCGCTGTCTAATGCGCGCCAAACAAATAAGTGCCGTTTTTCAAAGCGCAAACACCCATGCGCTCGAATTATTGACCTCATCTCGAGAGTAATCTGGTGGTGTGAAGGTTCGGGGGCTTTTTCTAACCCCCCCCCCCCCCTAACCACCCCCCCCCCCACCAGCCTTGTTTCCCACAGAGGCTTTTAGAGAGGCTGGTAATTACACCGAAGGACAAAAAGCATTGATTCTGATTCCTGGCACGGAACGCAGGGGCCCCCGTACCGTGGACGGACGGACGGACTTGACCGCCTGCCTAGCTCCGAGAGAACGCGATCGCAGGCACACCGAGGAGCCGCCGAGGGAAACGAAACGGCGCCGCTAACCCTAAGGGCTCGGGGTCGGTCAGGAAGGGTGGCGGGACAGACGGATAATAATCCACAGCCCCTGGTCAATCCGCTGCTGGATGAAGGCCACCTCGGGGTTTTTAACCGTACTTCCCCACGTTGGTAAGTACCGGTTGGCGGAGGCGGAGAGGACATGTATGGATGCTGAACGTCTTTCGCACCACACGTAGTCAACCGCGCTAATCGGAGGTGGACTGTGCATGGAGGTACAGTCGACAACCGGTTCTCGCCGATGCGGCCGATGACGTCACCTCCCGTCCGGCGGCACACACGCGCGGGGACGTCGGGGAACAGGGGTGGGGTGGGACTTGCAAACGATTTCCGTGCGATCGTATCGGTCGAGCGACCGAACCGATCTAGTGACTAGCCGGCAGTCGGCCAGCGAGACCGTAGAGGCGCCCTCAGGCCTCTCTCTCCCTCGTCCGCTCCCGTGTCGTACCGAGCGCCGGCTGAGGGACGTCTGTGCCGGAAGCCGGGCCGGAGAGCGGCGGTGGAGGCGGCGGTGGGGGCGGCGGAGGCGGTGGGCCCGGCAGACCGCCGCCGGCCATTCCGGGCGAGGGGCCCGGTGGGAGCATCCCGGACGGAGGCCCCGGGGGAGGAGGAGGTGGAGGAGGCGGCGGAGGCGGAGGGGGTGCAGCCCCGGAGGGAACCGGCAGCAGCAGGCCATCGCCTGTCGCCACACGAAGACGGAGGAAACAAAACAACAAACCGAGGGAGTTGAAGCGTACGCACGCGTGGGCTCTGGCTCGCGCGTGGTGTGTGAACCCTGCAGCCACTGGGGGGGATTGAATTTGCCACGATGGCAAAAGTAACAAATTGATCAATCGCCAAACTAATGGGATCAACAGGTGGGGGGAGGGGTGAGGGGGGGTTGTGATTTGTTGCATAATGTCCAATGGTGATCTTGCGGTGGTGGCCGCGGTGGGGGTGACGATAATAGTGGTGGTGGTAAAGGTGGTGGTGGTGGTGATGGTGGTGATGGTAGTGGTGGTGGTCGCTAAAATACAACAAGTTGGCACAGAAGGGGGCACAGCCGGTGCATCTGCCAGTCATCTCAATCAGTCAACCCATGGCACCTGGGTCTGTCCCGTGACCTCCTATCAACGAGCCATCCACATTTCACAGGGCCTCAGAGTGCACCTGGCCTGGCACAAGTGCCCTGGTGACGTCATCGCCACTTAGTGGCACATGGCGGCTGTTGTTGTTGTTGTTGGCGGTAGTCGCGGTGACAAGATGTTTACTACCTCGCCTAATATACAGGAGTCCGTGGGTTCGATCCCAACACTTACGCATATAATTAGGAGTTTACATGTTTCCCTATTAATTGGTCGCGTAGATTCTTCTCCGGGTCCTGCATATTTAAAATCAACGCATGTTCAAGGGCATTATGGCTGCTACAAATTGTCCACGTGATGATGAGAAACTCCGTTGAGCTATCAAACAAAGAGCGATACAGCTCAGCGGACTTTACCTGGTAAAATAAAAATAGTTTACTTTGAGTCCAGTTGCACGCACGCACACTCCCGTACACGGACGGTAAATAGATAAGCTAAGTGCACGCCGAGGTGGGTAGAATCACGATGGCGGTGGCGGCTGTGGCAGCCGTGCCGACTTCGGTGAGCAACCGTACCGGGCCCCGGCTCAAAGTTGGGCAGTTCAGGGAGACTGGCCGCCGAGATGGCGGAGGGCGCGATGCTGGGGCCCATGTCCAGCGTGTAGGCGAGGTCGTCCGCCACGCCGGGAAGGTCGGGCAGGTACGACGGGACATCGATCTCGGGAACCTGGCCCAGGTCCGGCACGTAGAAGTAGCTCTCCAAGGTCTGAGCGATGGGAGAGGAGAGGTAGGTGCCACGCGGGTTAGGGTCGTGTGTGGTGTTGTTAACGGAAGCATTGCTATCATCGTCTCTATCGTCGGTATCGCCATGGTCACCAGTATTATCATCACTAATGTCATCTTCATCTCCATGGTCACCACTATTATCATCATCATCACCATGGTCACCAGCATTATCGTCACCAATATTATCATCATCATGACAACCACCATTATCAGCACCAATATCGTCATCATTATCACCAAAGCCGTGCCTCCCACTTTTATCATCGATATCGACATCAACATCACCACCACCACCACCACCATCCTAACCATCATCAACACCGCAATTATTGTGATCAGAGGAATTCTCGAAAACATTATTTTGTTCATTCCCGGATGTTTATCTTGACCGTGCTATCAGTGCCGGATCAGGAGACAGAGGATCCGCTTCGATATTTTACGCAGCAGTGCGACATTTGTGCAAGAGCAGAGAACAGCCCACGGATATCACGTAGCTACGCAGCGGTACCCCTCCCACCCGCTCCGCATTCGCTTGTCGCGCGACAGTCAAAACGAAAATGCCTCTGCTCCTCGGGAGTTGGGATTTAGCCACATTCAGCGCGGAAACCAAAACTTTACGTGAAGGCAATTCATCGAGCAGTCACCTGTGACGGGGCTGACACGATAAACCCACGACGCTTGAGAAATCCAGTTAAATCGCAGATGTGCGGCTGGAAAATACCGATTCCAGGAATCTCAAGAGGTGCTAGCTCAGCACTCTCAAGCGGTGATTCACTCGGCCACCTCTCACAATCTCCAGCTGAACCATCATCGGTAATCACCGTCATCACAGTAAGCAGCGGGGGGAGGGAGGGCGTGCAGCTTCGACGAGGTCTGGGATGATGAAGGGGCGAACCCAGGAGGGCGGGAAGTTTGTAGCCGAGCACAGCCGCGAAAAAAAGATACAGCGCTTCAAGCGTCCCGTGGAAAATGGAAGGACGTAACGCGAAGGAAGCCGTGCCAAGCGCCGATTCTCTCTACAAATACGCCGGCAATCTCATTCCGTCAGCACTCTGCTGCCAGCGAGCGCAAGATGCGATGGGTGGCTGTTGAAGACGTCAAATGAGACGGTGAATAGGGTCCTATTCACCGTCTCATTTGACGTCTTCGACCGAATCCGAGACACACGGTTTGCCGTGTAATTTGTCGACGGCCCAGTTGGCTAGCGACAGCCAATGGAACGACATTAGCGAGGAACCGGCACAGAAGACCGTGCCTGGCTTGTCTCAAAGAGCATCCCGTCTGCCGGCTCCGCGCACGCAAAGTTTGCACCATCTTGGGGGCAATGGTCTTCACGGGACAACGTTTTGGCTGCTAGCCATCGAACAAAGACGGTTTCATTCTAGATTTGAAGCTTTCGTTATGCAAATGACCGTCGTCACCACTGTGAGCTGAGAGCACGAAGATCGTCCGCCACATCGCAATATCGACCGCGATTTATTTATTTACTCGCTTGCCTTCCTACTGGCGCATTTGCGAATAATTCTGAGATGGCACGTTGGCAGCGGTGCACAAGCACAATGAATGAAAATAGAAACAAAATTAACAAATCCCTCAATACCACTGTGGCCTTAAAATAAAAATAAAACGTGTAACAGGTGACGTTTCGGGCAAATGGTCCTCGTTCAGAGCAATATATCTACGAGCTTTTCATGAGCTGACTTATTTATGAGCTTGCTTACTGTCAAACTAGTAAAACAATTTTAACACTATTTACAATTGTGCCAATAACACCATGACGGAAGGGCGAGGCATCAATTTGGAGAAATTAATTTTACCCGGTGTGCCAGAGAATTGCCCCGTGTAAGTAGATATCACGAACTACTTTTGAAATTCATTGGGGGTGACCATTTCTCTTTACCCACACACACATACACACACGAGGCGGCGCTGATCTTTCTCACACATCCTGCTACAAAGAGAACGTTTGGCCCATGGCGTTTAAACTAAATATAATTCTCAGAGCTAAAATGTAATGACTTTTTTTGCGAGCAGTACCTGCTTTATCAGACTGAGACCATCAACCCCGTTCCACCTGAGAACCTGGGTTTTTAACCACGGGTCGATTGAAACCCAGATTCCAAGAAAAATCTCAGCAGTGTCACTTCAGTGCTCCGACACCTCAACTCCCCGGCCTTCCCATTAAAAAAGTGAACCTCGCAAGTTCAATATATTTTTTTAAAAAGTACATTTCACGACAATGTTAACACCACAACGGCTTGCACTGTCGATCGCTGCCAGTCCCCGGAGCGGGTAAAGGAATGGAGCATGGAGCTCATTATATCTCTGTGGGAAAAAATACAAATCTTGTTGAGCCACGGCGCGAGCCTTCAGTGATTCTCCCGACCGCGAAGCCACTCAGGAAGTTGGCCGCTGTCCCTGCTGTGCAGTCGACACATGCAGGGCCACGTGTGAGGGTGAGTGAGCGAACAAGTGAGTGCGAATGTGAGTTCGAGTGAGCGTGTCTGCACATGAGTGAGCGAGCGAGCGAGCATGCACATGAAAACAAACATCTCAGCGTGCACGTAGGAGCCGAGCGAGCGAGAACGTGAGATCAAGTGAGCGTGTGTGCACACAAACGAGTGAGCGAGTGAACGATTTAATGAGCTTGTCATGGCGAATGTGCGAATGAGAGCGCGAGCATGTATGAAAGTGAGTGAGCGAGTAAGCGAGCTTGGGAGCTTGTGAGCGTGCGTTGCTGAACCGGCAAGAGCCATCGCGCGTTTCCGTGCCACCCCCCCGCCACCCTCTCCGCCACTCCCTTCTCGTACCATGCGCTCCATCTGCTCGCGCTGTGCGATGGAGATGGGCGCCTCCCCGGGTCCATTGTACACCTCGTCCTGCAGAGCCGTGCGTGTCTTGGTGACGGCGCCCGACAGCGGGTCCAGCATCACGTACTTCTTGTACCTGGCGCCACGGCGCGGCGGAACAAATGAGACGCACGAGATGAACGATCCGTGCAAGGTTCCGTTTTCGTTTGAGAACTTTTTTTTCTGGAGATAATTAATTTGGAGCTTTCGTGACTGCAGGAATTACTCTTTGGTTCTTTCGGTAAAGTCACGTATAAAGGCCTATGTATGTCTCTCTCTCTCTCTATGTATCTCTGTGATATCTGTCTCTACTTATATGTCTGTCTATATGTCTCTGGTTCTGTGTTTTATCTCTCTCTCAAATTTAGCATTCTCAGGAAGAACGTAATCAACCACGTAGGGTGTTGACTGTTATGTTATCCGACGCTCTTTTGTATTACATTACATTTCTAAGTATACTAGATTTGTGTTTCTATTTCATTTATACCTGATGATGATTGCTTGTGTTGCAATCGAAACGTCGTATGCTAGTATTTAATTTATTATTTTCTCTTTATACGTGACTTTACCGAAAGAACCAAAGAGTTTTTTCTGGAGTTTGAGTTTACGTGATAACAAAAAAATTTGCCTCGTGGATGATCCCATTTAGCCAAACTCCCGGCTATTCTATCACCGAGATGTATGGTGCGTGAACACAGTAACAACAGAAACAAAAGACAAAAGCATCAATGTTGCAGGGAGCGTGTACAGGGTCCTTTAAGGGAGATATTGCACAACTAACAAGGTATTTGACTTCTCTAAACGAAACGCACCTGAATAAATAAAACAACCCAGTGCAAATGTAACGTCACGGTACGGGTGCACGCGCTCTCGATATTTTAGTCTAACAGCAACCAACACATTGAGCATTTTTAGAAAGAAATAAAACAACACTTCAAATTGCTTCGTACGACAAGATCACCCAGAATGCACCCGATATTTCATCAGCTCTTGCAGGCTGAGCAAGTTTGAAGCCTGGCTGTACGTGGATGAGGCACTGCCGGGGTATATCAGACATCGCTAAGGCTGCATGCTGCAATGGATTTGTGAATCTAATCGTGCCATGAGCTCTGGGCATTACCACTATACGTGCGTGCGTGTGCGCGTGTGGCTTCCCTCTGGGGAGCGGTAGTGTAGGGGGGTTAGCGTGCGACAAACCCGGTGACCCGAGTTCAATACCCGCTCACGGCCAACACTAGTGAGGATGATCCGAAGTGATCCTGGGCCTCCTCTAGGTCGACTCAACCTCAAATGAGTACCTGGTACGGGGTGTAAGCATCGCCACACCACCCCTTCGTGCGCCGTACCGGCCTTCACAGGTGCTTGCCAACTGCACTTGGCCCGACAGTATGTTAAGGCTATATGGGGGATCTTTGTCTATGTTTGTCCCTCTGGCATCCTCCGGTTTCCCACCACACAAAGCCAAACTTTCAAGCGTGGAATTGGCCAAACATCTCAATGCAAGATCCTCCTGAAATATAATTTTTGAGCCTCGTAGATTGCTACGTTGGATAACTAAAGCACATCATTATGATTACAACTCTTTGGCTTTGCATCTTATTTTAAGAGGGTGCTTTCTCAGGCGTGGTTCAATGCTTTTGAATTGTTTTCGATTTCAGGCTTTCCTGGATAATGTAAGGGCATTATTATCACGACTTACAAAATTATACCAGGCACTCAACGCGAAAACTTGAGTCGTTACTTTCATGAAAGTCTCTTAAACCTCACAAAAACACCGCATGCACGTACGTAGCTCTAATTGCCGGGTGAACCAATTATTGCCTTGCGGGAAGTCCGGCTAAGGGGGAGGCCTTCATCACTTCCTCTGGGTACAAATTAATTCGGAGAAAAACCCGGCCAATTATATTCGCCGGGAGGGCCATGCTACTGTCACTTTTACCCAATTAAGCGCGGGTAACTTTAGTTTTGCACGGACCATTTAGTGGAAGTAATGTATGGCGGTGTCCTAATTCGTACGAACCGGCCTACAAAAAACAAGCGACACACGAAGCCGGCCGAGACCGACTGGGAATTGAACTCGAGTCATCAGGTTCTGATTACGGCGCGCTGACCGTGAACGATTGCACGTCTGGCGACACACACGAAGACACCTTTCTCGTATTAAGGCCTTTCACAGACTAGTGGGGCAAGTGCTGTTAGCAAGAACCAACGAAGGCCAGCATGGCACATGAGGTGGTGAGTGGCCAGCACCATGCCCGGCCGCCTTGGGTTCCCCATTTTTGACGTTCATACCCCTCACCAGATACTAATCTTAGGCTGAATCGACCTAGGGGAGGCCCAGGACCGGAATGTTCAAATACTCGTCCATGGTGTTGACAGTGAGCGGCAATCGAGCCCGGGTTGCGAGGTTCGTAGCGCAGCTACATTCATTGAGACTAT